AGAAGCCTTTGAGTAAGTTGATAAGCTATAAGATATAGCCGATATTGATTGATACACTGAAGAGCTCAACGGAGACTCTTCCTTCAGTCCCTCAATCGAGTCTCATCCTCAACTTGTTGTGCCTCTCATTATATATCAAGTCGAGGGTTATTCAATACTATTAGTTAGCAGGCAATAAATGCGTTGCAAGGGATTTCCAGAGTTAGCCATTTTAATACTTACGTTGTATCCTCAACAATATCGTTATTTGATCCGAGTCTGAGAATGTGGGCGTTATTCGCATGGCTCGACAAGTGTATTCTCCTGCATCCGATTGGCTAACATTCTTGATGAAGAGCCCGTCGGAGAGTCGTTTGTGTTTTGAGGAGTTAGCAGCTAAACGAAGCAGAGAATGGAGGCTTAGCAAACTATTTACCTTCTTCACTGCCATGATATGTTACTAACTGTTTATGTATTCGCCGTTGTGCAGCCAGGAGACTTCCGGTAAAGGTTGGCCGTGCACAAAGCAATTGACCAGAGCATCGCGCCCCTCGCGCACCGATTGCACCTGCTCCGTCTTGTCGAATGATATTTTTTCTGTTTGTGAATTGGGAAAAAGTAGAAAATGTAAAACAGCATATGTATCTTGCTGGTCGAAATCAATAAGGCGTTGAACAACTAACAAAATGGATCAAAAGTAAACTCTGAAAAAAATTGTTTGACAAAAAAAAAAAAAAAAACAAAAAACATTAAAGGCCGTTAAATTATTTTTTTCGGAATAAAACTAGAGCCTAGACGGATGGGAAGAGAGACTGCGTACAAAATGTTCAAATGTTCATTTATGTCACAAATTTGACGACGGACTGAAGGATGCTCATTAAAAACGCAATGACACCAAATTTATTCTGTTTTTCTTTTATTGTGCTTTATTTCCCATGAACATTATTATTTTCATTTATTTTTTACAGAGGTTAGCTAGGGCTTTTCACCTGAGATATTTATATTGATTCACTTCATTTCAAATTCATTTTATTAGTAAGTATTCATGCCTGATAGGAATTTTAATAATCACAAAAGGCACTTTCATACTACTTGGCTGATTGTTTAATTACAGTTGAGGTGTATAACTTACGATTTACAAGCAGCTCAAAGGATTTTCGTGGCTCTCGTGCAGCGGGCGAATCCATTTCACACGTCCAGTTGCCCTTGTCTTCCAGGGAAATATGTTCAAAGACCAGAGCGAGTTGACCTAAGAAGGAATCAATTTTGCAAATAAATAAATAATATACCAATAATGTATAAAACCACAAAACGACATCAGCGCTTTAAACTTCTCAAATAACTAACCCGTCTTCTTTTCAATGTGAACGCGTCCTTTGGTGTTCTCACGGGGCTGACCCCTGGGATCCCGCCACTTTGTGTCAACATCCTTGTGCACTGTTTTGCAAAAGATGATGAAGGAGTCATTCACAAAGTGCGTTATCGACGGCGTCGACGGCGTCAGAGTTAGGGGCGACGGCAGATGACTGGGCAATACATCTATTCTGGCCGTGGATGAATTCTCCAGCTCCACGGCTCCAAAGACTGCAGCTGCTATAACAAATAACAGATAACAAAAATTTAACTGAATTTATCATATATTCCTGGAACAGAACTGTCAGAGGGCACAGCAGATGAACAGATGCAATCGGGTGTAGCAATATGAGTATGAAATATGAATACAGCACACAATACTTGACAAAACCAAGTCTGGCAGCCACACCCATAAGTTTTAACAGCCTTTTTTTAAACATTCGCATGTAACGTAACAGAAATGTCGGAAAGGTGAAGCCTCGCTCGCCTTACTTTGCAGGTAATCCCAACAGTAGTCTCAGTTAAACAGGTAAGAAAGATAAATAGCGCAAATGAATTTGACGTAACCTTATGATCGGTCACATTCAAATTTTGTTAGCTTTAGCCGCAGGTCTTTAATATGACATAATGCATATATCCTTCTTACCCTGACACAGCTTTAGGATTCCGCAACTCTCTTTCGGTAAACAAGTTTGTACACACATATAAAATGCAGTTGATAAGAAATAATAAAGTTTTCGGAATGCCCAATGCACATGCCGGTCAATTCGAAAAATTTAAAAGGCTAAAGGGCAGAATACGGACGACAACGTCTAATGAGCCAGAAGCAAATGCAGCATAATTCAATCGAACAATCTGGTACGATGGCAAATAGGCCAGAGCTTGAACCATGGGTTGATCACACGAATGGCAAGACTAATTTTTATCCTTCGTGGCCAGAATGACACGGGTGCCCCCAGAGCTATCTGAGCGATTTGGCAACGACGCATCAGACGAGTGCTCCAGGTAAGGAATATGCTATTGTGGACTATTCGTCCTGGGAGGTCAGCACTGAGGGAAGCTCTGGGTCGCTGGAGAAGATGGTTGGCATTCAGTAAAACGCAATTCGTTGCAAAAATCAAGGTGGAGGCATATGTAGATAAGCTGGGCAACTTAAAACAGTGGAAGCATCGCGAGCTACTTCAAATAATGCGACTTGCACTTAATATTGTAAGCAAACGGGTGAAGACACGTACTCAGGTGTGGTATCGACTCGATACTATCGAGTAAGCCCACACAAGCACACAGCAGTCACACGCACACATACGCACGCAAATAGAAGGCATCCACCGGGTCTGTTGTTTTAACTATTTATTTAAATTATTTAAATAATTAATTGTCCTTAGACAAAATCAAAATAAGTGGATTAGGAAACTGACCTATCAAAGCCGAATTACTTATCCAATTTGATTGAATTATATGTGTTGGGCGAATGAAGCCTGATTGGCATCTAGCCTGGTCCCAAAAGTCCGAGGTTCTTGGAAGTGTTTCCAGAATGAGCACAAACAGTTCATAGCATACTAAAAGTTCATAGCATACTGAAAGCAAAACGTTTACTAAGTTCCAAGATTCACGAGAGGAAGAAAGAAGCACCTCATATCCACACACAATTTGGAATTACGTATACTTTCTATTCTGTATAAATATAAATTGTATATTTCGATCACTGTTTAAGTTTGTTTTTTAAATAATTTAATAATTTAAAATTTTTGTTTTTTACCCAACAGTTTTTATTTAACGTAAGTTTGCTAGTGGCTTTCAGTAAATTTCCTTACCGTTTCTCGACAGCTGAAGCAGACAGCAAATTAATATGCATTTATCCATGTTACATGTGCTGCTTTGTATTTTGTTCCTAGACGCTGATCCTTTTTGGCGTGTATTATCACGGTATCTCTGACGGGCGTCGTAATCCTTTGGAAGATTGCGCGATTTCTTTCGATTTTCTCTAATTGCGTTACTCACTTAGGTTCACTTTTGGCCAGGATAATGGCACATGACAGCGTCATAAAGAGGCAAAGAGGCGTGGCTTGGCCGAAAAAAACAAATTACTCATGGGTCGCCCACTGCCGAAATAGTTTGGCTAGCAACACATTCGCATTCACAGCCACTTTCACTTTTAGTTTCACTTTTGGGGTCGGTTTCACATCGAGGCGAATCAGGCGCGGATGACATCATCTTCATGAGCGAAGGCCTGGGCTATTCTTATCTCAACACAGCAACTCCGGCACGGCAAAGACTTGATTTCCGGCAACATATCCGCGCCGACTACTCTTTTTGCTTTATTCGTGTTTAGTTGCTCCGTCTTATATCGCATGGGCACTGGTAACTCGAAATACGTGTGACAATCGCGCGAGGCTCGGTATTAATGTCCAGAGTGAGTCTTGCGATTCGTGATCCATTTCAACCGAGTGCCAAAAACGGACTGAAATCCAAAATGCGTAGACGACAGGACCTGCTCCTCGGCTGCGAGTGCCGACTCGAATCGAAGCACTGCGACGCGACGCGAACTCAACTTTGACTTCAGCTTCAACTGTAATTTGCTTACACTTGATTTCGTTGCTGGCGTGTTCAAATCAGTGCAAAATCAGAAAAGGTACTGAAGGACATTGCGCCTCTTTTGGAATCCTTTACTTTCGTCACATTGTAGACATTTTGTCGTCATCTTCCCAAAAGCAACAGTTCGTTCTGGCAACATCAAACATGTTGCTCAACATTCGAAATGTCGGCTGGGGAATTTGACGATACTGAAAGTATCAAGCTTTCACGTTGGGGTAGTAGAAAGCTTTAAGCTTGCACTTTAGCAAACTTCTTATTACAAATATAACGGACAGTAGAACAGTGTCAGTGTGTGTAAGGTTAAAACTCACCAATAATTGTATAACACCAAGTTTGAGATCCTATAACGTATTATAATGGTAAATATGAATAAGTTGAAATATTTTCCAGTAGATGGCGTTTAAGCTTTGCCAGAAGTGAACTCAAACGAGTCGATAGAAAATATATATCATTGCATACTTTTTGGCAGCTAAAGAAGTGATTTTTTTGTCCAATCATTTAAATAAAACAAATTGTTCCTGTCGATACGTTGTAAATAAAATAATTTCTAATAATAATCTGTGAACACTTCTTCTGCCTTCTATTAAATTATTATCTAGCTGCATCGTAATATACTTGATTTCAATATAATGAGAGCATTATACGCCTTCAGCATGATAAGGTACATGCATTAGAAAAGTCTGGTGGTTGATAAATTGACTAGTATCACTTTAGAAATGCTTGCGTTTCTAGTTGTTTGTAAACTAGACATGAAGACATGATGTCTTCACTCTGGCGGTGTGTCAAAATTGATTATCATATTGATAAGTTTAAATGGAATTTCGTGTAATCTGTGACCTCGGTTGTCTAAAAAAGTATTCTATAGTAGTCAATTGCCAAATAATAAATATATTCGCAAGTCCTATTGCCTTGCTTACTATAAAATTGTCTTGCCTTACGGATTACACTATGGTACTAGGTAAATGGTGCTTATATGGCGCATGATGGTTGTTGAGCCAACTAATGCAATTTTACGGTTGCTGACTTCGCTGTCGTTTAATCAATCCTTCTTTATTCAAACACTGTTAAGTTCATTTAAATTGCAAAATCTTTATTGTCTTTTATGTCCATTTTGAAGAAGGGCATGCTAGCCATAATAAACATAAGGGGATGCATAGGCGACAGCTGGATAGCCTGCTGAATAAACAAATTGTGGGCTAGGCTTAGGATTCGGCCCTGGTGCAGGTACAGCCACAGCCAAAGCGAGCAGAGCAGCGAGCAGCAGGAAAACCTAGAATATAGAATATATAGAACTCTTAATATCCATCCCATTAAAAGTCCTTACCAGCTTCAACATGGTGAAAGACAACTATCTTCTTGGAGCGCACAAAAGTCAACTGTGGCGCTTATGTGCATGAATGCAGGCTTTTATATTCTGGAATAAAACGCTACCTATATTTCAATTTGGCATTCCATTCGCGTCACTCCTTTCCCGGTTGGGGACGTCATCGAGGCGGTGAGCTTTACCCCTATAAATGTCATCTACCAAGGCACCTATATGATCGCCCTCTTTCAATTCGAGAATACCCTTGCAAAGGGAGAAACAGAGTCGCTTAATTCTACTTCGCTTAACAGAAAAATGCAGAGACTATATAGTTAATATTACTGTTTATTAACTATTGTTTACTTTAGTATATATAAACTTAGTATAGATTATGTTTTAAGTGCCTAACATTTATTTTAAGTTCGAAGACTATATAACAACATTCAACATTGCAATATACATTAATTCGTAGTTCTAGGCCAGACTTGGAGGAAATGTTTATATGTGTATATTGATTAATGACCAGATTTTAGGGATTTAAAGATAATACTATATAAGCATGTATTCTGGTGTTCTTTTCTTTATATTTTGAATATATTCAACGTGAAGTTACGTCGCGAGAGCAAACTGACGCCGACCCCAAATTTTTGCAAGGGTATATTATTTATCGTCTTTTGAGTATATTTCAGAATTCTTAGTTAAAAAGAAAACAAAGTAAATAATAACAGCAAACAAAAATATATTTTTTTAAACAAAAAAATAACTCTTTAATCCGCTTATATATCACTCAAATGTGCAATTAACGAATTTCGCCAACTCACTTAAATCGCTTTATTTAGGCTCGTAACATTTTGCCTATGTCATGGACAGACTGTTTTTCATACACACATGTATGTATGCATGTAGTCGTGAATAACAAAAATCGAAACTCTATAAAATACATATGAATCTATATTTAAATTTTTTCGATTTTAGCTCTAAAGGTGTTGGAAATATAATTTCATAACTAATTTAACCGATAACCAAATAATGGAAGTTATCGATTTTCTGCGATATGAGCGTGATATTCATGGACATAGAAAAACAATGTAGTCTCTAGCTTTTACATCTTCTGAGTAATACGAGTTCAGACATACGGACGGACAGACGGACAGGGCTAAGCTTGTCATGATCAAGTATATCTGTATATGCTTTATAGGGTCTGCCAAGCCTCCTTCTGCCTGTTAAAGCATTTGACAAAACCATTATATCCTGATTTCCCATTGAAAAGGAGTTCATGGTATAAAAAACTTATACTTCTTTCAGTAATATAACACTAAAAAAGTTACAACAACATATAATAAATTATAGATAAACTCATACACCTGTATTTCTTTACATATATTTTATATAACTTTCAACTAATGTAACCTACTTTTGTTTATCACTTAGGTACAGATTAAGGTTAAAATTACAGTGAGATCTAAGGACTTATGAGTCTAAGGAAGAAGGCAGCAAGAATTATTGACCTAAATCAAAAATGAGGGCCATTAACAATCAATGATAAGTCTGTATACGTTGCTTCTATCAGATGTATGTAAATACTTATCGAACTTTGAATCTGCATAGATCTGTTATTTTGGGGCAAAGTCCGCAATTATTATTCAGAAAGGAACAAATTTAGCTTCTGTGGTCATTTGGAAATTTTATTCAAATCGCTTAATCATTTATCACGTTAATTGCTGGCGAATGTGGTCAGAGCTGCGCTAAAAGCCTCCTCCAAAGAAATGTCAATTGGTATTCAAGATGCATTTCAAATATATGTTTGGCGAGCCACAGAATCAAAACAAAGTACCAATCACTTTCAAGGTCAGCGTCAGAAGTTGAGCTTATTGCATACATTAGACAGATGTATGTATGTATATGTATATGTATATGTATATGGTTATTTATATATTCTAGTACGGACTTACCTATTGTTCCCGAAACATGAGTGCGCGATAAGAAGGCATTAGAATGCAAAGCCACTTTGATTGCTGACAAAACTATTAACAACTCTTTAAGAATAATGTGTGCCAAATAAAAGTGAAATAAATACGCAAAATGAGAATGAGCAAAATGATGATGTGATGTCGATTCGCTTATTCTTCATAAATAAGTCATGAGAATCTGTTTCGAGTATAAATAGAGACTGCGCCCGACCAGAAGGCATCAAAACTCATTCTGCAATTGATATTAAAACATCCCAATTGTCTCTTCAACCAAAAAACATCCGTCAAAATGATGAAGCTAGTGAGTTAATATACGAAAAATTACAGAAACTATATCTAATATATGCTTTTTCATAGTTCGTTGTCCTCTTCGCCGCTCTGTTTGCCGTTTCCATGGCTGTGCCAGCGCCTGTTGCCCGTGCTGCTCCTGCACCAGTTCCAGTGGCCAGCCCAGAGCCTGCTCCTCAGTTTTACTATGGTGCCAGTCCCTATGCCTACTCCGCCTACTCGGGCTATGCGGCTCCATACGCTTACTACGGTTAGGTGACCCCATCCAACTGATAACTGGCCTTCACCCCGATTGTTAATAATAGACACGGAAAATACACGAGCTGAAAAATTTATTTAGGTTTTAGTAATAAACAATTACGCAACAAAAAAAAAAAAAAAAAATTAAAAAAAAAACGCAGTGTTAACCATTTTATTGTTCTGAATTTATTGAGCATTTTTGAGATTGATGAGTGTCGTACAAAGCAGCTTCTATGCATGCATCACTTATTGAACAGCTTTAATGGCAATGTTGTGATAAGTTAAATACTATACAACACTTGACATGAGAAATGTAGGTGGTTCCATGGTGTAATGGTTAGCACTCAGGACTCTGAATCCTGCGATCCGAGTTCAAATCTCGGTGGAACCTGACACGAACTGTCTTTTTTATTTTATTATTTAAACAAAATATAAGTGTATATTTAAATATAGAGGAAAACAATTTTCTTTTGCTGAGATCTTTCAATTTTTATTTGTATATAAAATGTTGCATTTCTAAATGGTTGTGAACTTGAGCTTACAAAGAAAACGCACATCTTATACGTGATTTTTCATTGGGCCGGCATGTGGTTCCATGGTGTAATGGTTAGCACTCAGGACTCTGAATCCTGCGATCCGAGTTCAAATCTCGGTGGAACCTGACGGTATGGCTTTTTTTTTTTTTTTTTTTTTTTTTTTAATTATTATTTATTGTCTTTTATAACAAAATATCTGTAAAGATCAGTCAACTCAGTTAATTTAGTTCACAAAATCTTACTGACCTAATACCAAATTCATGCAAAATTAAAGCTTATGTTGACTCAAGTGGTTGTTGTATCGGCTAACAGGGATGCCAGACTGCTGTGCTTGCTTTTCTGGTAGCCTTGTGCATCAGCTGTTCAGCAAAAACGCAAACACGCACACACAAAAATACAAGTCTGTTGTGTTCTTTGCCGTTTCTCGTTTTTGTGTTTCAAAACATAAATATGATGCCAAACAACTAATTAAAAGCTGCTAGAATGATAAACACGCTCTCTTATAATAATTAAAAAGTACATAAGTTCGAAATTGCATGCCCTGCGTTATGTGCGTTGCTTACACTGCTGCTCTGAATGCCAATGTATAAGTATTAAATATTAATCAAAATGAATTGCAAGTGCTTTGGAGGACACTTCTAAGGAAGAGAACAAACGCATTGGCTTCCATGCAATAGTGGTGTACTTGTGTATTTGTTTATTATGTTAAAAGGCTCGCTGAAAGTGTTGATTGCAATAGTGTTGAGTTTAATGTTTACCATTTCATTGGTAAAGATTGTTTTATTGATTTGGTCCTCGTATCCAGACTGGCTGCATCTCTACACAAGACCCGAGCATCCATCCAGCTTTACAGCCGACGAATGGCTTGCATACCGGAGACTGTTCCCAGATAAGGGTAAGTGCAAGACCCTGCAAGTCAATTTACCGTCAGAGCTATTTTATGTAGTGTTCGTTTAAGTTAGTGCTACGATATTTGATTGTGGAATTTATACACGTGTGCTATGTGTTTCCACGTGAATTAAAATAAAAAATAAATAATACAAAAATTAGACTAATATAGTCCAGGTTCCACCGAGATTTGAACTCGGATCGCAGGATTCAGAGTCCTGAGTGCTAACCATTACACCATGGAACCAATACGATCGTTGATCAAAAAGTCGACAGTAAAAATATATTTTAGGTAAATAAGAAATCAGCAAACAAAAATAAAATAACTTGTATAAAATATATTTCAGTAAACAATACTAGCAGGTTCCACCGAGATTTGAACTCGGATCGCAGGATTCAGAGTCCTGAGTGCTAACCATTACACCATGGAACCACTTTGTGAATTTTGCCAATAATCAGTTTTGTCTTAGTGAGGTATTTTGAAGTGTTGACGATCAGTTTTACACAAAAACTTTCAACAATCTTTATTTATTTATAAATTTATAAATCTAGTTTTCCTTTCATTTGCTCTGTTTTGAATGTTCTGTGATTGGTTTGCAATGTTCTATATTAAAAATTTTACCTATCGTCAAAACGATCGGTTCACTTAAATTATCCTTAATTTTCAATATATCCTCTTAATTTATAAATTGCAAAGAAAGAACTTCGTATTTATAACATATAATATTCGTTATAGGAAATGTTTCCTCTATGTTACTGCAGACAATATTTCTTAAAAAATTCTCAACAATATTTTGGGTACTGTGAATGTGAATAAAAAATATTTAAGAAGCTAAGTTAGATGCTAGAGAGCTTAACCGGATTTAAAAAGTGGTAAATCTTAAAATGGTTTTCGAACGAAAATAGACCAAATTGTGGCATAATTAATTTTTAATAGGAGTTTCTGTAAGTGTGAAATTAAATCATATTACATTATTGGCGATCTGTACAAAATGCTTGTAAATCAAATCAGGCTTTAATACAGTGAGTAGCTAAAAATCACACATATCGTTACTGATTTAATAAGTGTGCGAAACAAAAAACAACCTGCTGGAATACGAACGCCCCGGTCTGACAAGCTTTTTACTCCGAATCACAGCTAGGTTGCTCGGCAGCTGGACAGCTCGGCTTTTCGTCCGCTCGGCTCATTCACAAAACGAAGTTTTCTATGTCAGAGCAACAAAAGCCAAACCAACAACAATAACATGCCCAAAGGCAATACAGAATTCGGAGAAAGTGGCCAGTCGTGTTTTCGGTATAAAATCAATCGTAAATGTCCTTAAACGCACAGTTTTCGTTATACGTCGGAGCTCACTGGTTGGTTTGTTGCGCATCAAAACGCCGCGAATCGTGTATTTCTTTTTACTAGTCAAAAAATAAAATAAAATAATAGTATACAAACATAACACAAGGCATTAATAGCGATATCATCGCACATAAATATGGATCTTACAAAATATTGATATGCTCATAAAAGCTGAGAGTGCGGCCCATTGACAATCTCTCGTAACTGCTTTATGTTGAATTCATGACAATGAATTCTGTGAAAACTAATGTATTCCTGCGCTAACCTAATTCGCGCTGCACGTGGGTTGTAGGTAGTGGGCTGAGAGGGGTCGCCCCTCGAACCATTAAGAATTTGCGACCAATCGAATTGCGCGCCAAGTTTCTCAGTTTTCGTTTTTGTTGTGTGCTTAACTTTTCTGTATTAATGTTTTATCCATTTTTTTCTTGCCAAATAAAAAATTTGTGATTTCTCATACATACAAACAATTCTTGATTTATTTAGTAATACAGTTCTCATTCTTATTCTTATTCTGTATAATATATACTTACTTACTTATATAATAAATTTTAAATTTAATACTCACCGGCAATTAATATTTAAAGCTTACTTATTTGTATACCCTGCACGCCGTCATTCTGAGTAAGGCATATTCATACATATTTTAATAGATGCAAAAACAATTATATGTACACATGTACATTTCATTAGTTTTTTTTTATCAGTTCTACGAAAATCGAAAGAATTTCGTGTATGAAGTTTAAGAACAATTTAATAAAATGCATTTATTTAATTTCGTGTACGGCTTGGTTTCTATACGACATATAAAATATATGTGTTTACTATACAAATTAAGCAGATTACTAAATAAATATAAATAGTCCTTTTGATTTCAAATTAAAAAAATTATAATAAAAGCTAAATATAGTACACTGATCCCAGGTTCCACCGAGATTTGAACTCGGATCGCAGGATTCAGAGTCCTGAGTGCTAACCATTACACCATGGAACCCAACTGATCAGCGATCGCCGAGAAACAAAACTTGAATTCTTTGTATCATCTATTTTATTCAATGCCTCTCAGTGACTCATGATATTGTATTTACAAATTAATTTGTGCGACTAGACAGACGGCGTATTATGCAAATAAAGTGTAGATGAAAGAAGAAAACAATAAACTCATGAGAACAAGTCGTTAACATTGAACTGCCTTACGAAGTGAGACTGAATAGAAAAAGTAGCCAATGAAATCGGGTGCTGTACTTGTTGTTGTTGAGGAAATAATTGTTTGGTAAACATTGACCAACGGTCGACAGAGGCAGCAGGAGAAATTTGCATTAGGTGCTTGTTATAGCAATTTGCTGTTGCTTTCCAGGGAAAAAGGAAAGGAAAGGAAATTGAAAGGAAATTGCGCTTGTTTTTCCAAGTAAGAGACATTGAAGTGCGCCACTTGGGATGCAGACTAAATGCGGAGGGAGGGCTAAGCAAATTAAAAGGATTTGCGGGCGCCTCTGCCAAACCGTTAAAAATGACTTGAGTGGCAATGAAAAGCAACAAGAACAACATAGCAGGAGTCTAAAAGACATGTGCACATAACAAAACAAGAGACCCTTTATTGCGTCGTTCTCTTCGTCTCCCCTTCTCACCTACTCTCGCACTCTCAGGCCTGCGTGACTTGCTCTCAACCCTAAGATGTGCTCGTAACAATGGAGCTGCAACTGTTTTTGTTATGTAGGCCAAGCTGCCAGCCGCCAGACGCTAGACGTGAGACGGAAGCTGCTGCTGCTGCTGCTGTTGCTGCTACTGCTGATGATGTTGCCATCTTGCTCTGACATGTTGTTTGCCATAGCTGTTGACGGCTCTGCCACGGCTGTCGCTGGCGGCGCTCTTTGCGGTTAGTTATCATTATTGCCATGGCCCTCGTGAGCGTTTTGTCTTTACTTTTGTGTTGCGTTTGCGTTTGGGTTTTCGTTTTCGTTTCGCCTGCTCTTTGTTCTCGCATTTGTCAGCTCACAATTAGAATATCAACTCAGTTATTCAGTTTATCCTCTCTTTTGACTGCTTATTTCGTTTTCTCCTTCGAAGACACTCAATTTGTTCCGCCTTTTCTCCGTCTCATGTACCTTGAATAAAAGCAAAACCCTCAAAACCAACAGACAACAAACAACAAACATTTCAAACGGGAATATTTTCATTTCAAATAGAAAAATGTATTCCAATAAGCTCCCTCTAAAAAGTCAGGCCAGCATTATCTTAACATAGTGTACATAGATATGTATATGTAAGTACGTCCGTATGTATGTAGCTATTGGTCTCGGCACATTCATGTTTAGTATAGCAACAGGAAGAAGAAGGGAGGGGAAAGTTAAATAGACGTCGGCCACTTGGCGACCCTAAAGCAAATGAACAGCTCACTTTCATTACAAATTCCGACAGTAAACACACATACATTTACACACACACATACACACAAATCGATTCACTTGGCGGGCACACACACAACCAGGCCCACGCACACACTCTCACACGGAAAGTGCTTATAACTGCAGCCAAACTTTGTCAGCTCGCATTACAAGCACTGTCAACTCACACTCACACAGATGGGCTAGGTGGCCATATAAAAGCAAAAAAAAAAAAAAAAAAATGGCGCCATCAATGGTGATGATGAGCAGTAGGATGCGGAGTACGTGGAAGGATCTGCTCATGCGGCTGCTACAAAATATATGACCTAGGTCGGCATACAGGGCCAGGACAGGCAAGTGCTTGCATAATCTGTACTCATTGCCCAGTATGACAATATGGGCATTGGTATGACAATATACCTCGTAATTAAATGAAGTTTTATTTGATACAGTTTCATATTCATTCATGTTCATATTTATCTAGAATTGTTTTTAATTTGATTACAAAAATTTGAGATTTTTTCTTACTGAAGGTTTGATCTTTAAAATACAATATATTCAACCAACAACAAACATATACATAACAATAGGGTATCCTAGACTACAATTTTCCTTTCTCTAAAATTATAAATATATTCACACTTTAAATGATTTAAATTTATAAAATGCATCATATACATAGTTATCATAGAAATTGGAACTAATGCTACTTCCAGCTGATTTCTGCGAATAAATAAAGGCAACAAAAAGCGATAAAATTTTCGTCATCTTTTATGTTGGAGCTCTAACAAATCCAAATCCAAATCTTAAATCCTATAGATGCCCAGAAGCTCATGTTTGAGCAATACATAAAGATGACAAGAAAGCCCATGAGTGGCTTTCGAAAATTCATACAACTTTGTATTACCGTTTTTTGTTGCCAATTATCGATTACGGTTTCATGGAATGTTAAATAATTGCTTTCATTCTTTCATTCCACACAAACAAACTTTAACATTTATATTCAGCTTTGTTTTTTTGAGAGTCTCTTTAGTTCATATTGAATAAAATATGAGTTTTTATACATGCAATTTAAAGTTTTTGGTAAATTATCAGAGCGCACAGATAGTCCTATATCATGTTTTTAAATAAATAATTATTTTTAAATAAATAATTATTTTTAAATAATTTGTTTACTCTTTAAAAACCGAAGCCTTAAATAATCATTCCATTCGAAAGTTGTAGCAAGTCATATTTTTAATGAAATCAAAATGCAACAAACGCAATATTATTACATTTTAA